TTAAACTCCTGGGTTCAAGAGATTCTCCCACCTCAGTCTCCCAAGTAGCTGGGACTACAGGGGCATGCCACCACTCCTGGCTAATTAAAAAAATCTTTTTGGGCCGGGTGCGGTGGCTCAAGCCTGTAATCCCAGCACTTTGGGAGGCCCAGGCGGGTGGATCACGAGGTCAAGAGATCGAGACCATCCTGGTCAGCATGGTGAAACCCCATCACTACTAAAAATACAAAAAAATTAGCTGGGCATGGTGGCGCGTGCCTGTAATCCCAGCTACTCAGAAGGCTGAAGCAGGAGAATTGCCTGAACCCAGGAGGCGGAGGTTGCAGTGAGCCGAGATCGCGCCATTGCACTCCAGCCTGGGTAACAAGACTGAAACTCCGTCTCAAAAACAAAACAAAACAAAACAAAACTTTCGGGGCCAGGAGCAATGGTTCACTTTGGGAGGCTGAGACGGGTGGATCACGAGGTCAGGAGTTTGAGACCATCCTGGCTAACATGATGAAACCCCGTCTCTACTAAAAATACAATAAATTAGCCGGATGTGGTGGCACATGCCTGTAGTCCCAGCTGCTTGGGAGGGTGAGGCAGAAGAATCACTTGAACCCAGGAGGCGGAGGTTGCAGTAAGCCCAGATCGTGCCACTGTACTCCAGCCTAGATAAGAGAGTGGGACTCTCAAATTTAAAAAGAAATTCTTTTTTGAAGAGACAAAGGCTCCCTATGTTGTCAGACTGGTCTCAAATTCCTGGTCTCAAGCAGTCTTCCCTCTTTGGCCTCCTAAAGTGTTAGGAACAGGTGTGAGCTAGGCCTTGTTTTTCAGACTTTTTTAAAACAAGTATTTGTTTTTTTTTTTGTTTGTTTGTTTTTTTAGTTGCTGTCCGTAAGTTTATTGTCTTTATCTGAAAAATCCTTATAGAAAATTGTTTGGTTTAGCTCTTAGCAGCCTGCTCCTGAGCTCTGAGGAAGCTTGCCTTCTTTTGAGCTACTTCTTTCTTTCTTCTGAGCAAGGGACATTTTGGGGCAGTTCCACCTCTTCTTTTTAACTTCTTTCTTGGGCTTCTTTTCATAGACTGGATTCTCTCATGTAGCAGCATGAGCATTCTTATAAATCTCCATCATGTCTGGAGTTACGCTGTTCTTTCTGTATTGAGATAACTATTTCTTCTTATTTATTTATTTATTTATTTGAGACGGAGTCTTGATATGTTGCCCAAGCTATAGTGCAGTGGTGCGATCTTGGTTCACTGCAACCTCCGCCTTTTGGGTTCAAGCAATTCCCCTTCCTTAGCCTCCCCAGTAGCTGGGATTACAGGCCCCTGCCACCATGCCCAGCTAATTTTGTATTTTAGTAGCGATGGGGGTTTCACCATGTTGGCCAGGCTGGTCTCGAACTCCTGATCTCAGGTGATCCACCTACCTTAGCCTCCCAAAGTGCTGGATTACAGGTGTGAGCCAGTGTGCCTGGCCCATTTTTTTTTTTTTTTTTGTGACGGAGTTTCGCTCTTGTTACCCAGGCTGGAGTGCAATGGCACGATCTCGGCTCACTGCAACCTCCGCCTCCTGGGTTCAGGCAATTCTCCTGCCTCAGCCTCCTGACTAGCTGGGATTACAGGCACGCACAACTATGCCCAGCTAATTTTTTGTATTTTTAGTAGAGACGGGGTTTCACCATGTTGACCAGGATGGTCTTGATCTCATGACCTCATGATCCACTCGCCTCGGCCTCCCAAAGTGCTGGGATTACAGGCTTGAGCCACCGCGCCCGGCCTCCCCAATTTTTTTTTTTTTTTTTTTTTTGAGGCGGAGTTTCGCTCTGGTTACCCAGTCTGGAGTGCAATGGCGCAATCTCGGCTCACCACAACCTCCACCTCCGGGGTTCAGGCAATTCTCCTGCCTCAGCTTCCTGAGTAGCTGGGATTACAGGCACGTGCCACCATGCCTGGCTAATTTTTTGTATTTTTAGTAGAGACAGGGTTTCACCATGTTGACCAGGATGGTCTCGATCTCTCGACCTCGTGATCCACCCGCCTCCGCCTCCCAAATTTTTTTTTTTTTTAATTTGAGATGGAGTTTTGCTCTGGTTGCCCAGGTTGGAATGCAATGGTATGATCTCGGCTCACTGCAACCTCCCTCCAAGGTTCAAGTGATTCTCCTGCCTTAGCCTCCCAAATAGCTGGTACAATAGCCATGCGCCATCACGGTCAGCTAATTTTTAGTAGGACAGGGTTTCACCATGTTGCTCAGGCTGGTCTCGAACCCCTGACCTCAGGTGATCCATCCACTTTGGCCTCCCAAAGTGCTGAGATTACAGGCCTGAGCCACTGCGCCCGGCCGTTTTTTCAGACTATTAAAAGACCAGCCCGTGTTCTGTCTGCTGTTTCTACTGGGAGAAAACCTGGTCACCCTCCTTTGCTTGCAGAGGCGAGTGGAAGCTCGGAGAACCAGCTGCCAGAGACGTGTCTTGAGGAAGTTATTAACAGCTGACGATCTCTGCCCCAGAGGCTGGGATGCAGTGCTCCCAGGCGTTCCCAGCTCTGCTTCCCCCTGTAGGTGAAAACGGGAAGGCGGCCCCAAGAAATGGCATGGTGGGTGGGGCGGGACAACACTGCCCCCTGGTGGTTGATGTCGCATGAAAGAAAGTGGTAATTAAAAAGCCTGGCCCACAGAGGAGGTGGCAGATGCGGAGGCTGCCAGGGAGCGTCAGAGCTCACCCCTAGTCATCAGGTCTTTCTGCTGTTGGTCTCAGCGAAGAATTCATACTGCTCCACTCTTTCTCCTCCCTGGAGTCACTCCTGCAGGAGTGTTGACTCGGAGTCCCCAGCCCCACAAAGTGTGTGGCCCATGTTTCCAAATTCCCCAGGAGGGTCATGGTCACACAAGGAAAACCAGCATACAGCCCAGTCTGTTCCACTGTGAGCCACAGTTGTAAATTTACTCAAATGTGTTTTTTCCCTTATGAGATTTGGACAATGGTCATTTGCTGATTAATGATAATCCTATGATTATATCAACAAGAGCTCAAAAGTACTCAGTAAGACAGCATTGGGCTGGGTGCAGTGGCTGACACCTGTAATCCCAGTGCTTTGGGAGAGCAAGGAAGGAGGATAGCTTGAGCCCAGGAGTTCAAGACCAGCCTGGGCAACATAGTTAGCCAGGTGTGGTGGCACACTCCTGTAGTCCCAGCTACTCAGAAGGCTGAATGGGAGGATGGCTTGAGTATGAGAGGTCGAGTCTGCAGTAAGCTGTGTTTGGGCCATGGAGCGACAAAGCAAAACCTTGTCTCAAAGAAGAAAAAAAAAATAGCCAGCTATGGTGGCATGTGCCTATAGTCCCAGCTACTTGGAAGGGTGAAGTGGGAGGATCACTTGAGCCCAGGCGTTTGAGACTGCAGTGAGCCATGATTGCACCACTACACCCTGCGAGGCAAAAACCTGTCTCAAAAAAAAAAAAAAAAAAAAAAAAAAAGGGCCGGGTGCGGTGGCTCACGCCTGTAATCCCAGCACTTTGGGAGGCCGAGGCGGGTGGATCACGAGGTCAAGAGATAGAGACCATCCTGGTCAACATGGTGAAACCCCGTCTCTACTAAAAATACAAAAATTAGCTGGGCATGGTGGCGTGTGCCTGTAATCCCAGCTACTCAGGAGGCTGAGGCAGGAGAATTGCCTGAACCCAGGAGGCGGAGGTTGCGGTGAGCCGAGATCGCGCCATTGCACTCCAGCCTGGGTAACAAGAGTGAAACTCCGTCTCAAAAAAAAAAAAAAAAAAAAGATGGCATTCATTTTTTTCCTTTTTTTTTTGGCTTTAAATGGAGTCTTGCTCTGTCTCCCAGGCTGGAGTGCAGTGGTGTGACCTCGGCTCACTGCAATCTCTGCCTCCCAGGTTAAAGGAATTCTCGTGCCTCAGCCTCCTGAGTAGCTGGGATTACAGATGCACCACGATGCCTGGCTAATTTTTGTATTTTTAGTAGAGATGGGGTTTCACTACGTTGGCCAAGCTGGTCGAACTCCTGACTTTAGGTGATCTGCCTGCCTTGGCCTCCCAAAGTGCTGGGATTACAGGCATGAGTCACTGTGCCTGGCTTTTTCTTTTTTCTTTTTAATTTAAATTTCACTTATCTTCTGATAGCTTTGGTACAGCATTCATTTTTTTTTTTTTTTTTTTTTTGAGACAGAGTCTCGCTCTTGTTACCCAGGCTGGAGTGCAATGGCACGATCTCGGCTCACCGCAACCTCCGCCTCCTGGGTTCAGGCAATTCTCCTGCCTCAGCCTCCTGAGTAGCTGGGATTACAGGCATGTGCCACCATGCCCAGCTAATTTTTTTGTATTTTTAGTAGAGACGGGGTTTCACTATGTTGACCGGGATGGTCTCGATCTCTTGACCTCGTGATCCACCCGCCTCGGCCTCCCAAAGTGCTGGGATTACAGGCTTGAGCCACCGCGCCCGGCCGCAGCATTCATTTTTATATAAAAACTTTAAAAAAGAGGACTGGAGGAGGGATCCTGAGTGAACATGGTGGAGACACATCTCTTTCCTCCTCCCTTGACACACCTACTCAGCATTTATGGAGCTGTCAACAGGTACCCTGAGATATTAGGGCCGTGAAGGCAGAAAGATGCAGTCACAGCCTTGAAGGATGTTGGCAGATCTGGTGTGACCATCTCAGCAGCTAGCACAGTGCCTAGCATGTTGGCAGAAGGGATGAGAGATGAGGTCCACTGCAGAATGCTGAGCTGCAGGGGAGGGATGTCTGTGGGCAGAGGCGAGTCTCTCTCTGACTGGGGAGGTCTGGGAAGGCTTTTCAGATGAGGAGCAGGCAGCCAGTGTACACCCTCCTCCCCAAAGCCTGCTGGACCTGGCCTCTGTGAGTCACACTCCCTGACTGGGAAGAAGCCACTCTGATAGGAAGGTTTCAGGTGGGTGGCATTCTTGGGTTGTTGGAAGGGTGGCAGATAGGGCCTGGGGGCTGACATTTGGGGTTCCAAAACAACACTGTCACTAACCAGTGTCCTTCGTTTCTGAGGAAGCTTGTGTTTCTGGGTGCTTTTGTCTTCTGTGAGAAAGGAGTCATCCATGGTCACTCCTGAAGGCTGTGGCAGTAATCTGCATGGAGAAGGGGAAGCTGGTGATGGGTGACAGAGTCCAGAGTGGGGAGAAAACCCCTATCCTTCCTAGAAACACAAGGGATAGCCGTCTCCCTGAGGCAGGATCTGGGTCTTCCTAGTGTTGCCTCTGGATTCCCAGAGAAATTGCCAAGCAAGTCCCTGGCCTTGGATCCAAACCATTTGCATACATTCCCAGAAACATTCTTCTCATCACCACAATCTCACCAACTACTGCAGCAGCAGCTCCTCCCCATGAGCCTAGAGAATGCCATGGGCCTATACTTCCATTCAGTGTTCAGCTGTGGCTGTGATGATGGTTTCATGTACACAACTCTGGCACACCTTGGGACTGTGATGGAAAGGGCAGGTGCTATAGGACAAGAAGCACAAGGTCTGGGGTCCCGGATCTGGGGTGTGAGTTCGGATCCTGCACTTACTGGCTGCTAGGATCTAGGGGCTGACATCTGGGGTTCTAGTAAGACTACCCTTAAGCAACCTCTCAGCCTGGTTTTGTCACAAAGAAGTGGAGACAACTTGTCTGGGCGCGGTGGCTCATGCCTGTAATCCAAGCACTTTGGAGGCCAAGGCGGGCAGATCACCTGAGATCAAGAGTTCAAGACCAGCCTGACCAGCATGGTGAAACCCCGTCTTTAAGAAAAAAAAAAAAGTGGAGACAACTTTTGCTTTGCCTATCATACAGTTGTAAAGTTTTATTTATTTATTCATTTATTTATTTTAATTAATTAATTTATTTATTTTAGAGATGGGGTTTCATCACGTTGGCCAGGCTGGTCTCGAACTCCTGACCACAGGTGATCTACCCATCTCGGCCTCCCAAAGTGCTGGGATTACAGGTGTGAGCCACTGCGTCCGGCCCTTATTTATTTATTTATTTATAGATGGAGTCTTGCTTTATCGCCCAGGCTGGAGTGCAGTGTCATGATCTTAGCTCACTGTAACCACCACCTCCTGGGTTCAAGTGTTCTCCTGCCTCAGCCTCCCAAGTAGCTGGGACTACAGGCGCCCACCACCACCACGCCTAGCTAATTTTTGTATTTGTAGTAGAGACGGGGTTTCACCATATTGGCCAGGCCGGTCTTGAACTCCTGATCAAGACCAGGAGTTGATCTGCCCACCTGGGCCTCCCAAAGCACTGGGATTACAGGCATGAGCCACCATGTCTGGCCTAATTTTTGTTTCACCATGTTGGCCAGGCTGGTTTTGAACTCCTGACCTCAAATGATCCTCCCATCTCTGCCTCCCAAAGCGCTGGGATTACAGACATGAACCACTGCGCCTGACCTGAAGTTTAAATAAGAATTAGCTGGGTGTGGTTTAGGGTGCCTATAATTCCAGCTACTTGGGAGGCTGAAGCATGAGAATACCTGAATCTGGGAGGTGGAGGTTGTAGTGAGTTGAGATCACACCACTGCACTCTAGCCTGGGTGACAGAGTGAAACTCTGTCTGAAAAAAAAAAATTAGATTTGCAGCTGGGCTAGGTAGCTCATGCCTGTAATCCCAGCACTTTGGGAAGCCAAGACAGGCAGATCACTTGAGCCCAGGAGTTTGAGATAAGCCTGAGCAACATAGTGAGACTTTGCCTCATTCATTCATTCATTCATTTATTGTTTCAAACCCCTTACCTCAGGTGATCCACCTGCCCCGGCCTCCCAAAGTGCTGGGATTACAGGCATGAGCCACTGCATCCAGCCTATTTATTACTATTATTTATTTTATTTTATTTGAGATGGAGTCTTGCTCTGTCACCAGGCTGGAGTGCAGTGGCGCAATCTCGGCTCACTGCAACCTCTGCCTCCTGGGTTCAAGCAATTCTTCCACCTCAGCCTCCTGAGTAGCTGGGACCACAGGCGTGTGCCACCACGCCCAGCTAATTTTTTGTATTTTTTTTTTAGTAGAGACGGGGTTTCACCATGTTGACCAGGATGGTCTCGATCTCTTGACCTTCTGATCCGCCCACCTCGGCCTCCCAAAGTGCTGTGATTACAGGTGTGAGCCACCGTGCCTGGCCCTGTTTATTTATTTATTTTTTGAGACTGAGTCTTGCTCTGTTGCCCAGGCTGGAGTACAGTGGTGCAATGTTAGCTCACTGCAGCCTTCGCCTCCTGGGTTCAAGCAATTCTCATGCCTCAGCCTCCTGAGTAGCTGAGACTACAGGCGCATGCCATCACGCTGGGCTACTTTTTGTAGTCTTAGTAGAGATGGGGTTTCACCATGTTGGCCAGGATGGTCTCAATCTCCTGACCTTGTGATCCACCTGCCTCGGCCTCCCAAAGCACTGGGATTACAGGCGTGAGCCACTGTGCCCAGCCTATTTTAAAAAATAAATTAAAAGGGAGGCCGAGGCGGGTGGATCACGAGGTCGAGAGATCGAGACCATCCTGGTCAACATGGTGAAACCCCGTCTCTACTAAAAATACAAAAAATTAGCTGGACATGGTGGTGCGTGCCTGTAATCCCAGCTACTCAGGAGGCTGAGGCAGGAGAATTGCTTGAACCCAGGAGGCGGAGGTTGCGGTGAGCCGAGATCGCGCCATTGCACTCCAGCCTGGGTAACAAGAGCGAAACTCTGTCTCAAAAAAAAAAAATTAATAAATTAAAAATAAATAAAATTTTAATAAATAAATAAATGAGGTCTGCAAAATACCACGTAAACTGCAATGAGCTGCGTAGATATTCATTATGACAGTAGAATGGGGAAAGTCATCCTTCTTGCTCAAGCCAGGAAAGCATCTGGGAACCAAGAGGGAGGGCTACTGTGGGCAGATGGGCTCAGGTGGAATAAAAGGAAGAATTAATTCCAACAATCCGCAGGGTAGGGTTGTGTGATTTTTGTTGCCAGATAGATCTTGTGTTCACTCCTCTTGCTTGCTGGTGACTTTGGGCATGCCACTTTACATCTCTGAATCTCAGTGTCTTTGCCCATAAAAGTAGGATTAGGACTACCCAAACTTCAGGGAAGTTGAGAGCCCTGATGTGAACCCAATTGGGAAAACCTGCCCTGTAGTGCTCCTCAGCTGGAGTTCATGGAGCAGTAATATTCCAAACCCTAGTCCTCTGTTGCCTCTCAACATTGGACAAGTATGAGCAAAAGACATGGAGGAAGCAGTCAGTGTGGAGAAGGAAGAGCGTCTGCCCAGATGAGTGTGGGTGTGAGACAATCTTGGAGACCAACAAGATACAACAGATCAACCCCATGTGCTCACTGGGTTAAATCAATATCTTCCTATCAAGACGAATCAATGCTCGGCCAGGTACAGTGGCTCAAGGCTGTAATTCCAGCACTTCGGGAGGCTGAAGTGGGTGGATCACAAGGTCAGAAGTTCAAGACCAGCCTGGCCAACATAATGAAACTTTGTTTCTACTAAAAAAATACAAAAATTAGCCGGGCGCGGTGGCTCAAGCCTGTAATCCCAGCACTTTGGGAGGCCGAGGCGGGTGGATCACGAGGTCGAGAGATCGAGACCATCCTGGTCAACATGGTGAAACCCTGTCTCTACTAAAAGTGCAAAAAAATTAGCTGGGCATGGTGGCCCGTGCCTGTAATCCCAGCTACTCAGGAGGCTGAGGCAGGAGAATTGCCTGAGCCCAAGAGGCGGAGGTTGTGGTGAGCCGAGATGGCGCCATTGCACTCCAGCCTGGGTAACAAGGGCGAAACTCCGTCTCAAAAAAAAAAAACAAACAAAAAAAAAACAAAAATTAGCTGGGCATGGTGGTAGGTACCTGTAATCCCAGCTACTTGGGAGGCTGAGGCAGGAGAATTGCTTGAATTCAGGAGTCGGAGATTGCAGTGAGCTGAGATCACACCATTGCACTCCAGCCTGGGTGACACAGCGAGACTCTGTCTTAGAAAAAAAAATATTAGCCGGGCGCGGTGGCTCAAGCCTGTAATCCCAGCACTTTGGGAGGCCGAGGCGGGTGGATCACGAAGTCATGAGATCGAGACCATCCTGGTCAAACATGGTGAAACCCCGTCTCTGCTAAAAATATAAAAAATTAGCTGGGCATGGTGGTGCGTGCCTGTAATCCTAGCTACTCAGGAGGCTGAGGCAGGAGAATTGCCTGAACCCAGGAGGTGGAGGTTGTGGTGAGCCAAGATCACGCCATTGCACTCCAGCCTGGGTAACAAAAGTGAAACTCCGTCTCAAAAAAAAAAAAGAAAAAAGAAAAAAAAAATACTAATCAATTCTCTAAATTATGTTCTTGCTTATGCTGGAATCACTAGGAAAAGAAAGGTAAGCAAGTAAATTGGGTAATTCTATAAATTCTGAGAAGCTGTTGAATGGAAAAGTTCAGTAGGTAACACGTTGTTAGTTTTGTTTGTTTGTTTGTTTGTTTTAGACAGAGTTTTACTCTTGTTACTGAGGCTGGAGTGCAATGGCATGATCTCGGCTCACCGCAACCTCCGCCTCCTGGCTTCAGGCAATTCTCCTGCCTCAGCCTCCTGAGTAGCTGGGATTACAGGCACGCACCACCATGCCCAGCTAATTTTTTGTATTTTTAGTAGAGATGGGGTTTCACCATGTTGACCAGGATGGTCTCGATCTCTTGACCTCGTGATCCACCCGCCTCGGCCTCCCAAAGTGCTGGGATTACAGGCTTCAGCCACTGCGCCCGGCTCTTTTTCTTTTTTCTTTTTTAAGACAGAGTCTCAGCTGGGTGCGAGTGGCTCATGCCTGTAATCCCAGCACTTTCGGAGACTGAGGTGGGCGGATCACAAGGTCAAGAGATTGAGACCATCCTGGCCAACATGGTGAAACCCTGTCTCTACTAAAAATACAAAAAAAATTAGCTGGGCGTGGTGGCACGCACCTGTAGTCCCAGCTACTCGGGAGGCTGAGGTAGGAGAATTGCTTGAACCAGGGAGGCGGAGGTTGCAGTGAGCCAAGGTCGCGCCACTGTACTCCAGCCTGGTGCCTGGTGATGGAGTGAGACTCTGTCTTAAAAAAAAAAAAAAAAAAAAAAAGATCAAGACAGAGTCTCCCTCTGTCTCCCAGGCAGCTGGAAAGCGGTGGCAAGATCTTCGCTCACTGCAACCTCCACCTTCTGGGTTCAAGCGATTCTCATGCCTCAGCTTCCTGAATAGCTGGGACTATAGGCACATGTCACCATGTCTGGTTGATTTTTTATATTTTTATTAGAGACAGGGTTTTTGCCATATTGCCCAGGCTGGTCTCAGAAATCCTGAGCTCAGGCAATCCATCTAAAGTGAGTCGTGAGCCACCATGCCTGGCCGGTTTTTTTGTTTTGTTTTGTTTTGTTTCTAAATAGACAGGGTCTTGCTTTGTGCCTAGGGTGCAGGGCAGGGTGTGATCACAGCTCATTGCACCCTCTCAAACTCCTGGGTTCAAGCAATCCTCCTGCCTCCACCTCCTGAGTAGGTGGAACTATAGGCATATACCACCACACCCTGCTAATTACAAACTTTTTTTTTTTTTTTTGTAAGGACAGGGTCTTACTATGTTTCCTAGACCGGTCTTGAACTCCATAACTCAAGAGATCCTCCCACCTTGGCCTCCCAAAGTGTTGGGATTACAACCATGAGCCACCATGACCTGTGCTTCTTTCTTAAAATGGATGGGGATTCTTTTTCATATCCCTTTCATAGAGAATGGCAGTTTCCTAAATTATTTCTGTGCTGGCTAACAATTCTCTTTCTCAAACTTGGTGCTTGGTTCTCGTAGACTCATTTTAAGTCTGGAAAAAATAATCAAAGTGGCATTTCCTGTTCTTAGGGACTTTTGCAGGCTTTTCCTTGTCAAGGCAGCAGACCCTGAAGGATGAGAGTTTAGGTGGGATTGGGTGTTTGTTTTTTTTTTTGCACTGGGTAGAAGCGGGGACACCACATTCATTCAACACTTAGTGGGTGCCTATTATATACAAGAGCTGTGGTAAGAGCATCACATATTCTGCCTAAATATTCTCAACAATGTTTGTGGGGTGGGCTGTATCATTCCCATGTTTGAGATACAGAAGCTGAGGCCTGGAACTTGAAGGGCCTTCTCTGAGGTCCCAAAACTAGAAAAGTATTTAGCCAATTTTTTTTTTTTGAGACAGAGTTTTAGCTTTGTGCAGTGGCAGTATCATAGCAAATGAGGTTTATTTGAGGCGCGTACTGCTAATTGAAAACTTTTCCCGATACTCCGCCATGACAACTTGAAATACAGTTGGCATTGGCAATTTTTGGCAATCTCTATGGGGACTGAATTACAAAAAAAAAAAAAAAAAAAAAAAATAGATGAAGTCTCACTCTGTCACTCAGGCTGGAGTGCAACGTCGGGGTCTCAGCTCACTGCAACCTCTGCCTCCCGGGTTCAAGCAATTCTGCCTCAGTTTCCCTAGTAGCTGGGACTACAGGCGCCTGCCACCGCACCCGACTTTTTTTTTTTTTTGTATTTTTAGTAGGGACGGGGTTTCACTATGTTGGCCAGGGTTGTCTCAAACTGCTGACCTCATGATCTGCCCACCTGGGCCTCTCAAAGTGCTGGGATTATAGGCATGAGCCACCGTGCCCATGCACAAAAATTTGGAAAAATATTTAGCCAAAATTTTTGTGTTAATGCATATATATGGCTTTCCAGGCTGATGGAGCTGGTCATATTTTGCAGTACCCAGAGGCTATACACCTGAGTACAGGCAGGAACTACCCGGAGGATGATCTCTCAGGGCTTCTGAAGTATTTCTTCACTTTTACAATGATAATATTACTACTTTATACAGTTACCATGTGATTTATTTTTTTTTATTTTTTTATTTTTATTTTTATTTATTTATTTTTTTTTTGAGACGGAGTTTCGCTCTTGTTACCCAGGCTGGAGTGCAATGGCACGATCTCGGCTCACCGCAACCTCCGCCTCCTGGGTTCAGGCAATTCTCCTGCCTCAGCCTCCTGAGTAGCTGGGATTATAGGCACGTGCCACCATGCCCAGCTAATTTTTTGTATTTTTTTTAGTAGAGACGGGGTTTCACCATGTTGACCAGGTTGGTCTCGATCTCTCGACCTTGTGATCCACCCGCCTCGGCCTCCCAAAGTGCTGGGATTACAGGCTTGAGCCACCGCGCCCGGCCACCATGTGATTTAAATTTGGTACATAGGCCGGGTGCGGTGGCTCACTCTTTTTTTTTTTTGAGACGGAGTTTCGCTCTTGTTACCCAGGCTGGAGTGCAATGGCGCGATCCCGGCTCACCGCAACCTCCGCCTCCTGGGTTCAGGCAATTCTCCTGCCTCAGCCTTCTGAGTAGCTGGGATTACAGGCACATGCCACCATGCCCAGCTAATTTTTTTTTTTGTATTTTTAGTAGAGACGGGGTTTCACCATGTTGACCACGTTGGTCTCGATCTCCTGACCTCGTGATCCACCCGCCTCGGCCTCCCAAAGTGCTAGGATTACAGGCTTGAGCCACCGCGCCCGGCCGGCTCACTCTTGTAATACCAGTTTGAGAGGTCGAAGTGGGAGGGTCTCTTGAGTCTACGAGTTCGAAACCAGCCTGGGCAATATGGTGAAACCCCATCTCTACAAAAAACAAACAAACGAACAAAGAAACATCTCAAAATTAGCCAAGCGTGGTGGCGCACGCCTGTAGTCCCAGCTACTCGGGAGGCTTAAGTAGGAGGATCGCTTGAACCCGGGAAGTAGAGGCTCCAGTGAGTCGTGCCACTGCACTCCAGCCTGGGTGATAGAGCGAGTTCTTGTCTCAAAAATAAAATAAAGGGGCCGGGCGCGGTGGCTCAAGCCTGTAATCCCAGCACTTTGGGAGGCCGAGGCGGGTGGATCACGAGGTTAAGAGGTCGAGACCATCCCGGTCAACATGGCAAAACCCCGTCTCTACTAAAAATACAAAAAATTAGCTGGGCATGGTGGCGCGTGCCTGTAATCCCAGCTACTCAGGAGGCTGAGGCAGGAGAATTGCCTGAAACCAGGAGGCGGAGGTTGCGGTGAGCCGAGAACGCGCCATTGCACTCCAGCCTGGGTAACAAGAGCGAAATTCCGTCTCAAAAAAAAAAAAATAAAAAAAATAAAAAAAATAAAATAAAATATTTAAAAATGTGGTATATAAAGCATTTGGCATATAGTACATTCAATACGAGCTGTTTGTTACTGGTAATGATAAAGTACGCCTGCCCTTTTGCTAGCACGTAACGTCTTCATTGGGCTAAATCAGCCCGGATTCTAACCGCTCCTGCAATCATTGACTCTATGGGGCTGGAGCCCTAGATCAATGGTCAGAGGCCAGCAGGAGGTGCAGAGGTCCGGATCAAGTGCCATTTCCCTCTCTAGAAGTACTCAAACCCTTCTCTCTGCCCTCATCCCCGCCACCGCCTACCTCGACGCGGACGAGAAGCTGTGGCACCGCGACTGCTGGGAGGCCATGACCACGCACAGGCGGGCAACCAGCACCAGCGGCCTGGGAAGCTGTGGTAGTGTACAGCCCGTCGCCATGGCGACCAGTCCCCAGCGGCCCTTCAGCGAGGGCGGAGTCACGGATGCGCCACGCCCCCAAGCCCAGCGCCCGCGGGCTGGGAGGAGAATGAAGTAGCAAAGGTGGACTGGGACCCGGCAGCGGGTGCCCTGAGAGTCAATAACTACAACCGATTTGACCCCAGGTACCAGAATTGAGGCTGGGGGATGATCAGAGTCCATGGGGGAGGGAAGTGTGCCTAGAGGCTGGAGCCGCTTTGCCGGCGGGAATTGTAGTTTTCGGTGTCCCGACGTCTCAATGGGACAGGCTTATGGCTGAGGAGGGTTGTACTACATCTACCAGAACTCTCTACCAGCCCGAGTTGCTCCGCCTTTCAAGAGCTCTGGGTTGTGGGATATGGAGTTCGGAATGTGGCAAGGCATGGCAGTGTTTAAAGAGAGGTGCTGGATTCGGACTCGGTTTCCCTGCGGCCCCGGGAGGCTCACGGGCCATTGGCTGAGCGGGGCGGATCTGGTCGCGCTCCTCCCCGCCCCCATGACACAATAGCAGGTCCCTCCAAGATGGCGGCAGCGACGGCAGACCCGGGAGCTGGGAACCCGCAGGCTGGGGACTCCTCCGGCGGGGGCGCTGGGTGCGGGCTACCGTCCCCTGGGGAGCAGGAGCTGAGCCGGCGCTTGCAGCGCCTGTACCCCGCGGTCAACCAGCAAGAGACGCCGCTGCCGCGCTCCTGGAGCCCCAAGGACAAATACAACTACATTGGTCTCTCCCAGGGCAACCTCCGCGTCCACTACAAAGGTATCGGCTCGTCAGGCTGCGGGGGAACAGGGCTGGAGAGCGTCCGCAGGGTGTCTGTGCTGTCAGGCCCCTTTCCCATTACCTCCCTTTCCCTGCCTAGGTGCTCCAGGTTAGGCCTTGGCCCTCTCAGAAAGTCCAGGGTGATGAGGCTGACCAGGCCGGGGGTTAACTGCTTGTTTTCTGTCTTGAGACATTAGCTGTCAGGAGAACCGCAACCGGTGTCCAAACCCAGTGCTGGGCCGGACCTTCCACTCCAGGGCTTCCTTGCTTGTCCTAGGCTGTCTCCAACTCCAGCGGGACCCTTTGCCACTGCTAAGAAGAAAGGGGTGGTCACATCCCTACCATTAGCCTGAGGCTCATGGGCTTGCCCACCTGCCAGGCATCCCTGACTGGTTCTGGGGTTCTGTGCTAGAGTTTGGTGGGGTGTCTTCCAGGTCGGCCTCCTTCCTCCCCTGGTCTTCCAGGTGGGCTTCCTGGATTCTAGAGAGGCAGCCAGCAGCACTTGGTTATCTCTCACATTGCCTATACCCTTGTTTTGTTTGTATGAACAGTGTCTTAGGCAGGACTGCTATTCTCAGGAGGAGATGAGGCAAAGGTGGAAGGTTTATGTGTTTACTCAGTTGTCTAATGATTCCTTGGACTGTGTAAGTGCTCCACTCCTCTGGTTGCCATGAGAAGCTGCAGAAGAGTGAGGCTTCCATTTGCATTTCCTTCTGCTGAAATTTCTTCCTTGCCCTCTCCTGTTAGGTCATGGCAAAAATCACAAAGATGCGGCCTCAGTGCGTGCCACCCACCCCATACCTGCTGCCTGTGGCATTTATTACTTTGAAGTGAAGATTGTCAGCAAAGGAAGAGATGGGTAAGCCCTTCATGACCACCCTCTTTCCCCTAACGTGGAACTGATCCCTGTGGTCAGAGTTCAGGTCCCTTGGCTGGCACTTGTTGCTGATATGAGCTGCTGAGCTGCATGGGTCTGGGCTGCCTTTGTTTCCTGACTGTGGGCATGGTCTAGTCTAAGCAGCAGATCTTGATGGAAAGTGGGTGTGTTGGGAATAAAGCAGGGGATTCTTTTTAGTGGTGATATAATTTGATCCTAGAAGATTAGGCAAACAAATAATAAGTTTACTATAAAAATTCTGTGTCCAGAATGGAGTTTCCCTCATGAGCATGTGGTGTTTTTTGTGACTTCCTTCCTTTCACATTCTTGCTGTACTCATGAGGTTCTTTTTTATGGCATTGAGTCATGTAGAGGCCCTGGTAGCCTTCAAAGGGATAGTAGAGTCTTTGCAGCATTCATGAAAGCTGTTGTGGCCACTGGCCTGTCATCTCAGGGTAAACAGCATACACATGGTCAGAATCAAGTGACCTTGCTGCTCATAAACTTGTTTTTCATTCCAAGGACTTGAACACTACTAGTTGGACCAGCTTTAGGAAGGTCCTCATTAAAGTCAGCATTAGGAGCCAGGTGCGATGGCTCACGCCTGTAATCCCAGCACTTTGGGAAGCTAAGATGGACAGATCATCTGAGGTCAGGAGTTCAAGACCAGCCTGGCAAACATGGTGAAACCCTGTCTCTACTAAAAATACCAAAAAAAATTAGCTGGCACCTGTAATCCCAGCACTTTGGGAGGCCTAGGCAGGCAGATCACGAGGTCAGGAGTTTGAGATCAGCCTGGCCAAAATAGTGAAACCCTGTCTCTACTTAAAATACAAAAATTAGCTGTTTGTGGTGGCAGGCGCCTGTAATCCCAGCTACTCAGGAGGCTGAGGCAGGAGAATCGCTTGAACCTGGGTGGCAGAGGTTGCAGTGAGCTAAGATCACACTACTTCACTCCAGCCTGGGTGACAGAGTGCGACTCCGTCCCCCCTCCAAAAAAGAGCATTAGGGAGACCTCCTATTTTAGGGTGATCCAAGCAGACACAGAAAATCATAGGGGAGATATTTAATTTTTCTTTTTCTTTCTTCTCCCAGTCTCCCTTTTGTTTTCCAGTGATTGTGACAAAGCAGGTGTTTAAGTTATGATATAATATGACTGCAGCTACTTTAGAAGGCTTTCCTCATCAGACTTTAGGTTTGGTGATGGAAATTTGCCAACCCGCCTAGTGACTGTGCCAACACCGTGTGTTCTTGGACATTCAGAACTTCTTTCTCCTAGGGACTGTCCCCTTTGTGATGCATGCAAAATGCCTGCCAAGGGACTAGGCTTGGGGCAAGACTACCAGAATCAGAGCCTTGCCTACTTCCTCAGTGTTGTAACTTCTCTGCCTGAGAGGCTTTGTGGTATTGGGTAGATTTTGGGGCTTCAGCCCCCTGATCTGCATTGTTGTGAGCCAGGCCAGAATCTAAGCTGCCTGAACTCCAGAATGCTTCTGAAATTCTCATCATGGGAAGCTACTGCATCTCTCTCTCTCTCTCTCTCTTTTAATTTTTAAATTTTTATTTTATTTTATTTTTATTTTTATTTTTTTTTAATTGAGACGGAGTTTCGCTCTTGTTACCCAGGCTGGAGTGCAATGGCACGATCTCGGCTCACCGCAACCTCCGCCTCCTGGGTTCAGGCAATTCTCCTGCCTCAGCCTCCTGAGTAGCTGGGATTACAGGCACGCGCCACCATGCCCAGCTAATTTTTTTTTTTTTTTTTTTTTTTTTTTTTTTTTTTTTGAGACGGAGTTTCGCTCTTGTTACCCAGGCTGGAGTGCAATGGTGTGATGTCGGCTCACCGCAACCTCCGCCTCCTGGGCTCAGGCAATTCTCCTGCCTCAGCCTCCTGAGTAGCTGGGATTACAGGCACGCGCCACCATGCCCAGCTAATTTTTTGTATTTTGAGTAGAGACGGGGTTTCACCATGTTGACCAGGATGGTCTCGATCTCTCGACCTCGTGATCCACCCTCCTCGGCCTCCCAAAGTGCTGGGATTACAGGCTTGAGCCACCGCGCCCGGCAATTTTTTGTATTTTTAGTAGAGACGGGGTTTCACCATGTTGACCAGGATGGTCTCGATCTCTCGACCTTGTGATCCACCCACCTCGGCCTCCCAAAGTGCTGGGATTACAGGCTTGAGCCACCGCACCTGGCTAATTTTTAAATTTTTTTAATGAGATGGGGTCTTGCTCTGTCTTCTAGGCTTGAGTGCAGTGGCAAGATCACAGCTCACTGTAGCCTCAACCTTCTGGGCTCAAGTTATCCTCCCACCTCAGGCTCCTGAGTAGCTGAGATGCAGGTGCCTGCCACTACACATGGCTAAGTTTTTTTTTTGTTTTTTTTTTTTGAGATGAAGTTTTGCTCTTTTGGCCCAGGCTGGAGTGCAGTGGTATGATCTTGGCTCACGGGAACTTGTGCCTCCTGGGTTTAAGTGATTCTCCTATCTCAGCCTCCCAAGTAGCTGGGATTATAGACATGTACCACCATGCCTGGCTAATTTTATATTTTTAGTAGAGATGGGGTTTCTCCATGGTGGTCAGGCTGGTCTCGAACTCCTGACCTCAGGTGATCCGCCTGCCTTGGCCTTCCAAAGTGCTGGATTACAGGTGTGAGCCACTGTGCCCGGCCTAATTTTTTTTATTATTTGGAGAGATGAGGTCTTGCCTTGTTGCCCAGGCTGGTTTCAAACTCCTGGGCTCAAGTGATCCTCCCACCTTGGCCTCTCAAACTGCTGGGACTAAAGGCATGAGCCACCACACCTGGTTGTCTTTCATTTTTATCCCCATCTAGTGCATTTACAGATAGGAAAGTTAAATTTACAGGAGGGCTTCAAAGCTCCTATTTTTTCATTCCACCATCTGATAGAAGCACATGTATATTTAGCCTATGAACTAGTGTGAATGAGAATGACCTCTTAAAACAAGCACCTCAAAAATAATGTTGACTAAAATGGTAGTGCTGGAGTCTCATATTGCCAGAGAAACCGAGGTTCACTTCTTAAACTTGTAGGGAAGAAAATGTTTTTCTCCTAGTCTTTTTTTTTTTTTTTGAGACGGAGTTTCGCTCTTGTTACCCAGGCTGGAGTGCAATGGCGCGATCTCAGCTCACCGCAACCTCTGCCTCCTGGGTTCAGGCAATTTTCCTGCCTCAGCCTCCTGAGTAGCTGAGGTTACAGGCATGCGCCACCATGCCCAGCTAATTTTTTGTATTTTTAGTAGAGACGGGGTTTCACCATGTTGACTAGGATGGTCTCGATCTCTTGACCTCGTGATCCACCCACCTCGGCCTCCCAAAGTGCTGGGATTACAGGCATGAGCCACCGCGCCCAGCCTCTCCTAGTCTTTATCATAGATAACAGCTGAGCTAGTTACCTAGTTAGAGCGCAGAGACCAACTTCAGAAGGGAAGTGTTTACACTTAGAGACTTGGATTCTTTTTTTCTTTTTGTATTTTTTGAGAGATGAGGTCTGGTTATGTTGGAGATCTGGATTCTTCCAACTGGCTTTTTTTTTTTTTTTTTTTTTTTTTTTGAGACGGAGTTTTGCTCTTGTTACCCAGGCTGGAGTGCAATGGCGCGATCTCGGCTCACCGCAACCTCCGCCTCCTGGGTTCAGGCAATTCTCCTGCCTCAGCCTCTTGAGTAGCTGGGATTACAGGCACGCACCACCATGCCCAGCTAATTTTTTGTATTTTTAGTGGAGACGGGGTTTCACCATGTTGACCAGGATGGTCTCGATCTCTTGACCTCGTGATCCACCCGCCTCGGCCTCCCAAAGTACTGGGATTACAGGCTTGAGCCACCGCGCCCGGCCTCCAACTGGCTTTTAACATTTCAGTTTTAGTGGATCTTGCTGGAAAAGGCCCTGTGTCACGTTAGATTGGCAAACTGTAGGTGTTGATTGAAATTCTAAAGAAAGGTGGGCTTCGCTGGGCGCGGTGGTGCGTGCCTGTAGTCCCAGCTACTTGGGAGGCTGAGGTGGGAGGATGGCTTGAGCCCAGGACTTCTGGGCTGTAGTACACTATGCCGATCAGGTGTCTGGACTAAGTTCGGCATCAATATGGTAACCTCCTGGGAGCGGGGGACCACCGGGTTGCCTAAGGAGGGGTGAACTGGCCCAGGTTAGAAACAGAGCAGGTTAAAACTCCCGTGCTGATCAGTAGTGGGATCACGCCTGTGAATAACCACTGCACTCTAGCCTGGGCAACATATCAAGACCCAGTCTTTTTAAAAAAAAATTAAAAAAAAAAAAAAGGTGGGCATCTATTCCCAGCATTTTACATGTGGTAAACATAGCCGTTGAGCTGATCCGGAAACATCAGTTTTATTTTATTTTATTTATTTATTTGAGATAGAGTCTCCCATATTACCCAGGCTGGAGAGCAGTGGTGCAGTCTTAGCTCACTACAACCTCCACTTCTGGGTACAAGAGATTCTCTTGCCTCAGCCTCCCAAGTAGCTGGGATTACAGGCATATGCCACCACGCCTGGCTAATTTTTGTATTTTTAGTAGAGATGGTGTTTCACCATGTTGGTCAGGCTGGTCTTGAACTCCTGACCTCAGGTGATTTGCCTGCCTCAGTCTCCCAAAGCGCTAGGATTATAGGCATGAGCCACAGTGCCCGGCAAGGAAACATAAGTTTTAGAAAGGTCTCAGGTCATGTATGCCTGTGGTAGCCTGCATCAGTTGACCACTGTTAGATGGCAAGAGTATGAATAGCCCCCTCATGATCTCTTTACAGAATCCCTGAAAGCCTTCTCGTGGCTGGGATGCAGCTAGATGTTAGTATGGGCCAGGTGTGGTTTTGAGGACGGAAACGGAGCAGGTCAAAACTCCCGTGCTGATCAGTAGTGGGATCACGCCCACTACTAAAGGCAGTTATACAGGGCAGGCAGACATCAACTGGCTTATTTCCCTTTTCTTGTAGTGGTTTATATAT